TCGCTCAAAAGCTGCCCAAAAGCTGAATACTTTCAATCAATTAGTAGTGCTGCTAATTAGCAAATTAAAAATGTAAAACTGTTTCTTTTTCACTTATTATTTGCATTTCGCTTCTGCGCCATTTTATGCAAATGTGCATAAACGCTCAACTCGACTCGGCTTGTCAGGCGGCAGGAAAACTCATTAGTAATTAAATATTTTCCTGTCCTGTAGTTTCTTAAGCTCTGCTGAAACGCACATAAATATGTTGTGGTTGCTGTTTCTGTTGCTGCTGCTGCTGCTGCTCTTCTCCGGCTCTGCACTTGATAATGAAGGGTATATCAACTTTTTCGTGCTGCTCCGCCAAGTCTAGGAAAACTTTTCTATTAATTTAATGAGCACGCCCGCAAATAGAAAGTGAAAATCTTGGCTTACTCATCTATTTGCATACTTTCCGAGAAATTATGTGCAAAACTCATACGCCATGTTGCCACAGCAGCGTGATTCGAATAGAAGGATACTCGTACATTGACGTCGAAGCATTGTATGAAATGTGTACGCATTTAAATAAGTGTTTAGGAAATTATTCACTGAGCCGTTTATTATCGATTCGAAATAATTTGGCATTTAATAGACATACCTAAAAAGAGGCTATAGAATGTAATTTAACAATTTAATTGCTGGAAGGCCAAAGTACTTTTCACATTGCATGTAATTTGTATTAAACTTTAAATGGAGAGAGAGCACAACTTAAAGACCACATCTGAGGGGGATTGCTTTGAAGGGGAAAAGATGGATATTGATGAATAGATAAGTGCTTTTCAAAGGAATTCAAAATGCACGTTTTTTTTAACAGACCTCGAACTTTTTAAAAAATAAACCTTCTACTTAGAAACCACCACAAAATTTCTCAGAAGTCAGCACCCGAAAAATATAATTTGGCAGTAAAAATATATCCAATTGACAAAATCTTAATCCCACCATTTTGGGAAAAATACTTACCGTTTTGTTTACATTTTTAAAGTAAGAGTTCATCAATGGTCTGTAATTATGTTGAAATCAAGCGCTTAAATGTATGGGCGGTCTCTTAATTTCATTTTCTATACATACTCATATTTTGTAGCTCACACTGGCCTAAGATTGAAACCAAAAGACAAGCGTCTTACAAAGCACTATTTACGGGTATAAACAAAATCGCAAATACGAAAAACCTGTAAATATAAATCCCCAATGAAAGTGTTTGTTTCGTTCCATGTAAGCTGATCTCTCAAGCACTCGGTATTTGTTTAAGTTAATAAAATTTATCTAATGTCAGATTTTATTTGTACGGCTCCTTCGCAACGTCCCAGACTGAAGTGCGAGGCTATAAAATTACAATCATGTGAGCCTTTTTTGTGGTTGGCTGCCTTAAGGCATAATCGCATAAGGATTTGCAAGGGCATAAAATGTTCGTGGTGCCAAAGAAAACATATTCTTGTTGTGCAGTTGCTGTTGTTGTTGGCGTAGTTATTGTTGCTGTTGTTGTTTTTACTGTCATCGTGTTCGCACAGGCATAGCCAACACTTCCGCACTTCCGTTCATTCCTTGCTGGCTTGCTGGCTGGCTGGCTGGATGACTGGATGACTGTGTGTTGTCGTCCGAGCGACTGTTGATGACGCACAGAAGACTTGCAAGGACCCACACCGATACACATACATATATACGATTAACATACATACTTACTATACATATATACTTGTGTACTGGTTCAGGCAAGATGAAATGTAGATGTAAACGCACTTTTTTTTGGTTGTGCGTATTAAACCCGTAAACAAGTCGCTTCGGCTATTTGGTCGCCAGGCTGGCTGGCTGACTGGTTGCCCCACTGGTTGCTGCCTCAGTGGTGGTTGTGGGCTCTCCTCCGGCAACCCTGAGCATGATTTGTTACTGACAGCGTCTCAGGCTCAGGCTCATGCTCGGTCTCGGGCTCTGGCTCTGGCTCGGCCTCACGACCAGGCAGCAATGGAGCGCCAAGGCTGGGTCTGAATTTGATTTATTTCTCGTTGAACAATTTATGAGTGAAGGTGAAGTAAAAGAGGCAAAAACAACAACAACAACACCAATAGCCATAGCCGTGGCAACTACAAGCACATGAAGAGCGAGGCGTTAGCACTTGCAATTCATTGAGCTGAGCAACTCATAAATGGGTTGAGGTATTCGGTCTGGGTAGGTGGGTGCGGGTAAGGGTGTGGGTGACTTTTCTGCTTTGGGCCAAGTAACTAGCGCGTGTTTAAGATACGCAAAATTCCCAAAAGATTTCGCATGCCTTTGGGTTATGAAATGTAACCAGGACCCAACTCCCCCCTCCCCCTCCCTCCTGCTCCATCCCACCCCCTTCCTCTTCTCTTCTTTTACCGCAACTCCTTCAGACTTTCCACTACACTGCCAGCCTGTTATAAAATAGATGAAATACTTATGGCCAAATGCTGTTGCCTACTTTGCGGCGCAGGCTCCTTTCCCAACTTTGTTGCAGCTGGTTCGAGCACTCTGTGGTTAACCAGTGGACAGTGGGCTCTCTTTTGTCGTTTCCCTTTAAAAGTGTTATATCTATTCCTAAATAAATATATATGTTTTCATTTTTGCGTTTAAATTCTTTGGAGCTAAACATGATTTTAAGTCGTCTTGTTTATATGTATTTAAATTTATTGAAATACGAATTTTAAGCATAACGCTAAGCCTATTTCTTGACATATCTAAAGCAGGATGTAGGACAAGAGAGATGCCTTTAATAAGACTGCAGAAATTATGAAAAATTTTTGACTGTAATAAATAGAAATGAACGGCCGATTATAAATCGAAATAAGCGAAATAAGTTTCAAAAACAACTTTTATTTGTATAGTAATTATTAATTTATTGTATTTTCATATAAAAAACGATCCACAATTTATGTGGAAACAAATTTTTAGAAGCTAATAAATATTTCGAATTATCAGAAAAAGAAAAGTGGAAGTGATAATATTGTATTTCTAAATTAATTTTGAATCTTTTCTCCACCTTTAAATACTTTCAGCTTCGAATCCGACAAAAATGTGAGTCAAGAACTTCATTTATTTATTCAAAATATTTGCTTTGAAATATCAAATTCTTTTCGAATATATATTGGTTTTCTTTTTTGTGTTCTGTGTAATGCGTAGATTTTAAATTATAATGGAAAGCAACCACTTAGAAACATCATCTCTCCTATCTCTCGAATTGGCCGAATCGAACAACAAACTCATTTGCAAAAGAGCTCAAAATGTATAATTTGGCCCACTGTGGCGGTGGAGCGGCACCCCAAAGCATTCGTTAAATTTTACAGCTACATTAGCGAAATGGCAGTTACATTCTTTATGCATAACACAGGCGTCCAATGTTGATAAAGATGCGTTATCATTTTTCAATTAGCAGCAACGCTGATACTGCTGCCGGTCTACTGGTACTGGCCTCGTATTACAATTATTGCGATTGTGTTGTGTGTGTTTGTAGTTGTTGTTGCTGTTGTTGGCCGAAAAAGGAGTGAGTGTTGCTGTCCAGCCACTCGTATTGCCATCAATCACGCGCCTTTAAATTTAATTTTGCCGCCTGCACGCGCCCAGCACACCATTTATCATAATTAATCTACATAAGTATTTACCTAGCCATGAATATATAACTATTTATGCACACAACCTGTAAGTGTGTGTGCGTGTGTGTGTGTGTGCACAGCATATTAATGCAACTACATATGCAGGGACGTAGCCAGCATCTCATTAAGGGGTGGTTCAGGTTTTTTTTTATTTCTCTACCATCAAGTAGCATTTGCGTTAATATGCTAACCAATTGTTACGCCTTTTGAACAACAATCAGCATAATCGCTTTATGTTTAATGCAGTTAACAAATTGTAAGCATGGCATGTTTTTCTTTTCCAAACAGTAACAACAATGACTAATGGAGTTGCCAAATGACAAATCACAGAATTATATTCAGGGGAAAATAATGGAAATGTCAAGTAAATGGGTGACTAACAATTCTGCAATTACATACATATTCGTATATGCATTTCAGATGAGAGAGGATTACATTTATAAAAAGAATTATATGTGTTCTGGAAAAAAATACTTACTTCTGCAAAAATAAACTGAAAAGCTGAATGTTTGTAATTCGAAACATTTTTTTGAGTACTTGTAGTTAACAAATTTCCGTGATCAAATGAAAACTGAAATGTATTTATTTTAAAAAACTGACCATGCTGTCAATGTAAAGAAAAATTAGTTTTAAAAAATTGAAATAATATCCATTAATGAATGCGACTTGTTGTGATGTTTGTGTTGTAATAAAAGAAAAGCAAACAATAATTCAAAAATATATTTTTTAAACTCTTTTTTACAAGAAAATTTAAAGAAACAAAGAGCGACAATTAAGCAAAAGTTTTTACTAACAGGTTTAACTAAACTCTAAAACTGAAACTAAATCAAAACTAATCTTTAATCAACTGCTTCTTTAATTAATTAAATTCTATCTAGAGTAGAGATCTTGTTTTCGCATCACAAACAGAACTTTTTTTTCAAGAGAATTAAGTATTTTATAATCTCAGGTCTACAAAATTCGGGGACATCGTGTTATTCTTCAGCGAATTAAAAAGAAGCTTCTAAAATGATAAATTAAATGTCAAATAAGGTCAACAAAATTAGTTAATTTTCTATGCGCCGCCCATGTACATACTATATATACATAGATACTCGAATAAGTAGCATAAGCATTTGCCTATTTGTATAATTACCCGCGCCCATCCATTTAGCAGCAGATAATATCGTTGGTTGTTTATTCTTTTTTCCATTAAGTTTTTTGAAATGTATTTATTTACAACAATTTTATTTTGCTTTGCTTCGTTTGCGTTTACCTTTTGACGAGCACGCGTCCTCGCGCCTCGCTTTATGCTCATCCTTTTACAATTTCGTTACATGTGAGTACATTATACATACATATTGTATACATATGTATATGTATATATTCATATGCGTCATATGCGCCTTATGCGAATGCAAATGCACGGCCTATTTACTTAATTACGTATAAAAATACTTAAAGCTTCTTAACAAAAACGGAAAATTTACATATTTACAACATGCAGGAGGAGGATGAAGAGGTGGAGGCGGAGGTGGCAGTTGCCCCTCAAGAGCGCATCGCTAGAGTGCCTTCGTCGGGCCTTTTTCAAAAGAACAGCAGCTGCGGCAGACACTCACAAATCCTTCGAATCCTTATGCATGTATTCGTGCTGTTGTTGCAACTGCAACTGCAGCCAAAGAGGCGGCAACATTAATGCAGATTTTGTGGGCATGTCACTGCAAAAGAACCCAAACAAGTAATCAGAGTTAAGAGTTCAGTGAGAGTTGAAGCTCAGTAGACAGACACACGACTTACCCAAAGTATAAGTGGGGCTGCTTTGCATGCTGATGATGATGATGATGACGATGGCAGGGATAGTGAGGCAGATGATGATGTTGCTAGTGAGACGCAGAGGCTGATGCTGATGATGACGATGATAACTTTGTTGATTACGACGACTGGCCTAGACGGTTGAGCATTTCAAAATGTTCACTTGATAGCACCCACTAGAAGCTGCAACAGACACATAAAGACACATTAAAACATACTCATAAAGTTGTTGCACACAGAGTCGAAGATGTGTCGGATTGTAGACAAAACAGCATACATGTATGTATATTTCTTTTATAGATAAGTAATCTAATGGGTAAAGCTATTAAAACTGATCCTTTTGAAACTATTGCCTATGTATATTCTTCAAAATAAACTGCTTTAAAGGTTTCTATATATTTAATGAAGGTGTGCTCAGACGGGTTAATAAAATACCACAAAAACTCGTTCTACTTGTAATTGAAAAAAAGAACCCTTTTAAATTGAATTAACCAGAATATGAGAAGCTCTATAAAGAAAATTTAAACAAATTTCTTTACATGATATTCTGTTTGTTAAATTCAACAATTTCTGTTTTCTTCCTTTACAAATCATAAGTTATAAATATATAATAATATAATATAATTATAAAAATATAATAGCATAAAATAATATAACAACTGCAGCCATTCATTTATTTATTTTTTGTATTTTTTGATTGATTTTTATTGAAGCAAAAACATTTTCTGACGAAGATCAGACTCTTTCATTTGAAATACAAAAATTCTTTCTGATAATGTGAAAGTAGCAGTCCTGCAGAGCTCTAAGAAATGCTTAAAGTGTTGGAAAATTAAAAGAATTTAACAAAAGGATATTCTATTTAAATTGAATGCTTTTTGTTGTAATTGAATTATTTTTAATATTGTAAAAATTATCAAAGCGAATTCGCTAACTGAAGTTAATTGTCATGTAAAATATTTCTTATTAAAACTACTGGCATGCTGCTATTTCCGATACAGTTTCCGTTCGTCTGTGGTGGTATTTTTTAGCTTACGAGTATCAGGATTTGCGATATTATTTGCCTAGCTTTTTTCTTTTAGTCAGATGGTGGATTTTAAGTAAAAGTAAAGTAAAGAGCACCCTTGAAATGGAAAATTGCAAACAAAACAAAAACGCGATGGGGTTTGATTTATTCTGGCCCAGTGTGCGTCAAATGGCTACAATTGCTAGGCCGTCTACTACAGGTAGTGCTTGAGATGGAGATTTCAGATGGAGATACTTACGTGAAAAAATGTTAAAAGGACGAGCAACAGCTTGGGCAGCTGCATCCTCACCGCCAGTTCGTGTTGCATGGCCGCGTGCTGTTCGCTCTTAATGATATGCACAAAGACGCTGTCGGAGTCTGTCGAGGATGGGGCACGAATGAGAACAAACAACAAATTATGTAATATATATCTATACACGTATGTATATAAGTATGTGTATCACTTGGGTGTGCAATTGTGTTTGTGTTTGTGCGGCACTCACTTGAATTATCCGCCGAACACGTGTAATTTCCGGAATCGGTGTGCAGCACGCGCGATATCACCAAATTGCTTGTCTTCATTTGCTGCTCGGAGACAACGCGTATGCCGCCACGCGTCGAATCACTGACTAATTCGGTGTCCTTGTACCATAGCATGTGCGTATAGGGGCCAGGAGCCTGGGGGGCTATGCACGTCAAATTAATGTCGCTGCCACTTTGGATGAAGAGCTCACGATTCGCCAGTATTTGTGCCTTCGATGCTGTTAAGCAGAGAGAGAGAGAGAGAGAGAGAGAGGGAGCGAGAGCGTGGGAGTAGGAGTGTGTTTGTTAAAGCAATTTGGGTTTCCTTGTTTATGGGATACTCACTCACAACCATCAGTTTGTAGGCCAGACTTATCTTCGGCTCTGTCGACACCTGACACTCGTAAATGCCCGCATCCCGGGGCTGCACGGAGACCACCTTCAGCACCCACTCATCGGAGTTATCGATGTGCCTGGCCAGAAATCGCTGATCGTTTGTGTAGGTCATGATGCCGATGGTCAGTATATGCAGATCCCGCTGGCGTATCCAGGACACAGCTCGATCCCCCAAGTTCCGCACCCGACAATGCAGTCGGGCTGTTGTGCCCAAAGCGGCAATAATTTCTCGCTCCGTGTTATTATCGAAGTGTGGTTCAAAACCCTCGTAGTTGTCCAATATGACGTTGGAGAGATCCGTGTCCCCATGACTGGGATGGTGGCTGTGCGGATTGTGCGGAATGTGCTGCTGCTGCTGCGGCATCGAACTGGCGGCAGCTGTGGAGTGGAAGTGAGAAGCGCAGAGGAAGGCGTTAAGAGAAATTAAGAGCTCATGTGTTGGGTTCATTAAAACTAATGAAGTGATTGCATTTGACTATAAACTAGCAATATTTTATGAGCAAACATACACACACTACATGTACTTGTATTTGTATTTGGCCTTCAGCTAAAGTGTCAATGTGTACGCATCCTCAGAAACAAATTACACATTCCTACACTCAAAAAAATTATAATTTTCTAGCTTAAACATTCTTTGAACACTTATAGGATGAGCTTCTCTGGCTGTTGAGCGGGTTGGGTGTGTTTTTTTCCGTTTTCGATCAAATTAGCAGACAAACATATTCTTACCCCTACTATACCTTATTTTTAAAAGCATTATTTATTTATTTATATTCTGATTGTTCAAATATATTCTTCTAAGCAGAAACCCAAATGTTTCCAAAATAGCTTGATCTGCTCATATGTATTATATCTCAAGCAATACGCTGCAAAGTTACACAAAATGTGCAGAAAATTTGACCCCAAAGTGGGGGAACATGCAATCACAAAATGGTGGAAAATCATTAAAAAATTGCCTTTTGTAAAAATGTAATCAATTTTGTAAGTGAAACTCAAAATTTGATGTAACGAATTTTGTTTGAGTGTCAAACACACTTACATTTACACTTATGTGCTCATATATGCGTATAGACACTCTTGAAAAGGGTATCGAATAACTGTATCTAAATGTCAATCTAAATGTATTCATGTGCATTTATAACCAACTACGGACGGGCATAGCCAGAGACATACAAATGCTTCTAATAGAATATGCTACTGGAGATAAAACGCAGCAGGAGAAGATACAAGGCGATGTCAGATAGTGGGACGGACAGGCAGATAGATAGACAGACAGGCAGGCAGGCATACAGACAGACGGATAGAAAGTCCGACAGAGCGTACTGAGAAATCAACATTCATTTGATTAACGAGTATTTGTGCTTAATTTATGCCACACAACACAGCACATTACATTACAACGCCACACATCACGCACACACACACACACACTGACGCAGACACACACATATGCGCACTCATGCACACATTGACACGCACACTCCTTATACGCGTATATGACAAGGCTGCTGCATGCATGAGACATGAGCACTGATCCATCACGGCTATAGCGCCCGATGTGGCAGCAATGGCGGCGGTTGAGGCAACAGCCTTTCACTAAGCACTCCAAGTGATTTATGGGGCGTGGCTGTCGGCCGTCGACTGTCGACTGTCGGCTGGTGGTTTATCCTTCTATTAGGTTCACTAATTCGCTAATAATCCATGGGTGCCTACAACATTTGTATTTCTATGCATATCCTACGAGTATAGCCAAACAAATATCGCTAATATTGATTTATAGGCACACACGCACAACGCACAACGCTCCACCCCTACCCTTAGCCCAACCCCAACCCCAACCTTTCACCGCACACTTGTAAACATGTTAGTGTATTTACATATGTATGCTTTATTTATTTAGCCATTGCCATTGCCATATGAGTATGGCAGGGCAATAAAAAGCCGTTAAACACTTAATTGAAATTGAAACTGTTGTTGCAGGGCAGATGGGGAGGGGCGGTTTCCTTTTCGGAGGGTGGTTTTTAGGTTGAAACTACAAATGAAATTGGTTTTTATGCTGCCCACAAAAATACACATAAAATTTTTTAATAAAAGTTTTCTCTTCTTTTTTTTTTAGCCGTATTTACATAAAATGTGTGCCACTATAAGTATTGGCGGGCAAAGGGTGCTGCGTTGCATAGTGGTGGTAGTGACAACCACACACACACACACGCAGGCACGCACACAACCACAGACACTCACCCAAGCGGGCACTAAAATTGAAGGTATGAACCATAAATTATAAATGAAAAATTGTGGCCGCATACACATACTCACATACACAAAAATAATGCGCAATACTTTAGACTAAATTTTTGTTTACACAAAAGTATAAACTCCATCTATACTCTCTCTTACACACACACACACACACATAAGAAAATGTGTTTATTAAGCATTTTTCATCGAGTTTCATATTCGCCTAATGGCCTCCACTCTTGATCACCTTGGAGTGCAGTCTCTTGTGGCATAAAAAGCATAAAAATATGAGCATGTATGTGTGTGTGCCCATTCCAATGCTACTTTACGATTCCTTTAAGTATATGCAACAAGTTTTAAGTCTGAAATATTAGGGTCTCCTTCCCTTAAAGTGTGTATATGTGGGAAACTTATTTTGAAACTATTTATGCTGCTATGTTTTTTTTTTTTTTTTTTGAATTCTTTAGACGACTTATTATAGATAAGTGGCGATAATTCATCAGTTTGTTTGAGTTTTAAATTCCAAATTATCAGTTAAATGTGTGGTATTTCTGGAATAACATACTACTTAAAAATATACATTTAAACTTAATTTAAAATAACTTATTTTTCAACTAAACAACTCATAAATAATTTAATTATGGTTGCTAGTCAAGTCCATTTGAAAGTCTCTTAACAGGTCTGTCTGCTTTGCTGTTTTGCCTTTCTTTTGTTGTTCTTCTTGAATAAATTATCCTTTTTCCCCACAAATATTGTCAAATTGTTAGTTCATTCTTTGCGCCTAAAAGAATTTTCTGGTTCCTGCTTAATTAAGTTAACGGTTGAACCTAAAGGGTGCGAATGAACCTTAAAGCTCGAACACTACTCGTATATAATTGTGGCAACTACCTGGTGCACAGTTATTCAGATGCTGTTCGGACAGGCTATTTATGAAGTGACAATTAATCAATAATTTTGTTAAAGCTGGGAGTAGAAGAAAAAATTCACCATCATATGTTATTTTGAAATAATTCCCTTGTAGAACCAGGACGTAAGGAAATGCAGGACGTAGTAGGAAGTTGAATGGCTTCAGCTTTTGTGATGTTTTGTGATTAACAGCCTCCTGTTGCGTGTTGCATAAACGATAATAATTTCATTAACTGGAATATGTCTGACATGACTGCCTGGCTGCTCAATTTGGCAAACAAAAGCAATTAAGTAACCAGATGCCTAGCTATGAACAACGTGAAGCAAGTGCTTCAGGAATCTCAGCAGGCCCTCTAGATTAGAATGTTGAAAGAAAATGCTGCTCTAACTAATGTAAGCAAGTTTTCGAAGCAAGTAACACGAGCCTGAACACGTGGTGCCTTGTATGCCTTCAAATTAAACAAAGTTCTATGACATCCCTTGAGCTTTCAAAGGTGCTACAATTTGAACCAGAAATGTTGTCAAGTTGATTTTACGAAATATGAAATTACTTCCCGATACCACGTGGCGTATACATAATGTACAATAAGTATACGCCATGTAGTGTCGTGGATAAAAAGGTGTTTTTTTTTAAAGCGTATCAGCTTAGTTGTCGCTCAAGATAAACTAACTAGTTATTATATAATTTTCATACCTACAATACTTATATCAGATTAAACTAAATGGGAATTTGGTTAAACATTACTTAACATTACTGGGAATCTCAAAATTTTGACATAATGATGTGAGTTCTAAAAAGCGGTTTGGAAAATGCAGCCCCAAGGAGGCTCAACGTTTTTTTTGTTCATTCTTTCATGCTTAGTTCAGTTGTAAATCTTATTTGGTTTATCCAGGATTAAAGTATAGTATTTATTTGATGTTTATTTTATTTAATATTACATTTTCCTTAGTATACTCTTCTTTAATATACTCTCGTATGTTAATGAACTTACTGATTAATTTATCATTTTGTATTGTTGAATGATTTAAACAAAATTGGTCAGAAAGTCTCTTAAATAGAACTAAACGTTATGAATGGCCACTCAAAGACCATTACAATGTGCTTCCCAGTTATGATCTCGTAAATGCAGCTTACAGCTTATAAATGCCAAAAATAATGAGCTCTAAATGCGGGCCATAATAAATCATTGTTAACAGAATGGAGCTGAATGGGGCCAGAGTCTCTGGAGTCTTAACTTAGGAATTTGTTAATCTTAATTTTCATTAAAAGTTAATCAAGTTGACGTTGGGTTAAATGCTCATACATATAAATGTTTATAAGTAAATGCGGTTAATCTGTGCAATTTACTTACCGAATTGTTGCTTGTGCCTGTGTTGCTTATCAAACGTTGTGGTTAATCCCATGATCACAAGCAGAGCCATTACGTATTCCAACAACATTTCATGCGCAATTTGTAACGCGGTTAAATTATAACTGCAACCAAACAAGCAAACGCCAGAAGAGAACAATAATACATAATAACAACAAATATAATAACAGCAACAATGGGGCGTGTAATTAAAATAAATGATGGTAATTGCAAACCAGATCCGCGCCATATTGTTTCTTCATTAATTCATTAATATGACCACTGACAATGGCGATGGCGCTGGCGCTGGCGTTGGTGCTGGCGTCTTTCTGAATGCGAAGGGATTAGTTTCTTATCGGCCAGCGGCAGTGGCAGTGGCAGTGGCAGCGAGAAACGTCGTACATTCATTTAACTGATGACAAGCCGCTGCTCTGCGGTTGCGTTTTCAATCACCAAGACGCCCACAGCAGCTTAGAATAAGGACGAGGAATGTGGATTGAGGCATGTGGGCTGAGCAGACAAAGCCTGAAGACAAGCCGCGTCAAGCTGAGAAATTTCTTTGTTGGAACACTGAGAGTGTGGTGGGGAGAGGGGGGGCTTTGTGGGGTCTCCTGTTTCTGATGCGTCTGTGGCTGTCGGCTATAATTTCAAGCTGGCTGGTCACGTTTTGGTAATACACTTAATTATATTGACGAGCCAAACGACGACACTGAATGCGGTAATACCTTTTTCTTTTTTCTCCCCTGCTCTCTATATATATTTATATTCGTTGTGTGCGTTGGTTGGTCGGCCGGGGGCAAGCGGAGGGGCAGGACTACAGCAATTTGTAAGTGATGCGTTTTAATTCAATGTACCGCGAACTGCGTGCCGCCATTTCATGCGCAGTGCGACGCATTCGAGCGCGTTCAGATTCAAATTTACGTAACTGTTTTGAACTCCTTTAACGGGCTGGCGGGCTGCTGTCGCAAACACATTTCAAACGTGGCCCATTCACACTGGCACGCAAACGGGCGCACACACACACGAAGAGATTACACACACACAGAGAGACACACTGACACTAAAACGACGCTGCGTTACGTTACCGTTACACGAGACGATACGCTACGATACGAGACGAGACGATACGATACGAGAGGAGGCGATAACGCAATGAAGTGATTTTGTGTGAGGAGCGAATACGAATACGAAAGCGAATACGAGTGCGTATGCCTTTGTGGGTTAGCGATGTTTGACGCGTACTGTTGTCCAACACGTTGTGTTCGCGCTAAACAACTGATTTCGACTGAACTGAAACGCAGCGACTGCCAAGTAACGGTGCAAAGCATGTGCAACATATGCGCCTGCGCAGCGCAACATTTGTGTGTGTGGCTGGCAGCATGTTGCCAACAATTACCATGTTGCCGCAGCATTAATTCAATGAAAATTGAATTGTAACAGATAGCCTTGTCGCCCCGGGGAGCATGCGTGTGTATGGGTGCGTGTGTGTGGGTGTGTGTGATGGAAAAGAGTCATCACACACATCTTTGATGCATGCCTTTAAATTTCATTTGAGTTTCCGATATCTGCTTATGAAATATTAAACAGACATTGAATGTAAACGTCAAAAAGAGGATAACAAAAAAAAAGGAGACTCACGCTTGCACAAAAAACATGATTTGTATCACAATGGCACACGCAATCGCAACAACAACAATATGAGCGTGAACAGCAAGTGTAACATCAGCAACAACAACAACAATAACAGCAACAGCATTAATAAAAAGAAAAGCTCATGCATGACAAGGCGCGTGTTTTTTTTTTACAAGTTTTGTCAGTTTGTCCCAATTGGATGGGCCGGGCACACGCACATACACCGACAGCCAGACCTATACATACATACATACATACATACATACATTTACAGCTACAGCGAGACAGGCACTGAGACAGACAGGGCAGACACACAGACAGACAAGCATTGTTGCGGCAGCGGAAACGGATATGAAGCGGCAGGCAGTGGCCACGGCTGCTTCACGCCGGTGTTGTCGCCTACCCGGCGTACATCATCATACACCCACGCACACTCCTGCCGTCCCATCGCTCCCCACTCTCAACTCCCCACTCCCTGAAAGTCGTCGTCGTCGCCGCCAGCGACTTATCAAAATCGATGCAGGCAACATATGGCCGATTTTAATTTTCTAACATATTTCTGCGTTGCCTGCACACGCACAGTACACGAACACAGACACAGACACACACTGACTGGTATACGCAAATTCGTTTAACATATTTTCTTTGGAAAATTGAATTTCAAAGTTATTATAAATATTTTCCGGCAAATGCAATTTTCAATGGAATTTTATTTCGAATCTACTTAGCATGCAAGCCTCTCCAATACATTCTTACAATTTTTACAAGTCGGCTTTACAAATAGATAAAATGTAATCGTATGCCATCCACCTCAAAAGCACTTCGCATGAGAAGTCAAGTTGCGTTAATTTCCAAAACATCGCCACAAGAAAATAAACAGGAGGGTATTATGCATTGGTTGCCAAAATTAAGAACGCAAATGGAAGATACTGAGAATTAATGGATATTCAAATTCAATCGCTTTTCTTTATTAGATAAATTATATTTGTCAGTGGAATGATAAAAATATTCAGGGGCATAAATATTTCTATGTTAAATAGGCCGTTTTCTGGAAACTGGTTTTAAATAAACATATTTTATCAATCCCACTTTTAATTAAGCAAAAATTTAATAATATTACAAAAATCTATATAGTTTTTAAATTGTTAAAAGAGTTAACATCAGTTGTGCATATATACAAGATAAATATAACACTATTGAAAATTGGTGTAGAGGGAACAGAAAAGTTAACGAGCAGAAGGGTTTACACCAAATGCGATCCAGATTGATACGATTTTATTAAAGTAGATTAGTATTGTATCATTTAATTTTTATATCAAAAAATTTTACCATTTTTATTTGAATTCAGCACTTTTGCAGTGGAAGTTCCCTTTGGTGGAGTCAAATTTTATTTTAACATTGAATTAAAGGACGTTTGTGTGCTTTGTTTTTGGATGAAGTGAACGCTTTAATAGAAATGCTTATTTAAATTTATTAATTAAAATTATTACATCAAGCTTGAATCTTAATTCTAGTTACGAGTTTTATTTTCCGCTCAATACGATGTGACCTCATCGAATCTTAATTATTGGCTTATTATTTTTCTATTGATATATTATAGAGTATATTTAGTTCCAGTACATATATCTTGAAGTACTTATTAATTAGTATTTGGAGATCCTTTTCTCCATTATGCGCATATAATTTATACGAGTATGTCAACAATTTTTAAACTTGCTAAGCATATTAGTTTTCAACAATTTATCAAAAACTCTACCCCATGTTTAAAATATGAAGAACTCCAATTAAGTGCAGGGTATAAAGGCATCGGCGATATCTTCGAGATGCCATGCATATCTTCTTCGCTTTTCCTCTGCCACTCTAGGCTATCTTTTATTATTTTACACTAACAAGCGTAAACTTTGCGTCAAGGTTAACAAGCATGCAAATATTTCTTGCTTTCCATTCATCCGCACGGCCCATCCACTCAACCCCTACAGGCAAGCAATCGCTCATCGTTTTAAGTGAATTTTTTTGCTTTACACAGTATTGTTGTTGTTGTTGTTGTTGTCACCGTTCTGTGTGTGTGTGTGTTGTAAGGCTTCATTGCCCGCGCGTCGTCGATTTGGACATTGATTGCATACAGAATTGATGGAAACAGTGAGCCTCGTCGATGTTGTTGCCGCTCTAACTCAGCGGGATGTTAAAAAGGTTATGGGGTGGCGGAAGAGGGGAGGGAAAGAGCGTTAGTGTAGAAGTCTAAGGTCCTGGGGTACATTTGATAACTTTGTTTTTGTAAACAACGCAATATTATTCGCGACTGTTGTCTACAGAACCCATCCCCTCTTCATTTTTCCCGCTCCCCAATCCCCAACCAACACACACGCTCCACGTGAGTTGTTGCTACAAATTTATTTATATGATGTATGAGAGATGTGTGCGCGCTGTCGAGTCACACTAGAAGCCATAAATACTCGCATTTACGGCCAATTTCTATTTGTGAAAATTTCAATTCAATTCAAAGCCCCCGACAGGTTAATCATGCCATTGACAGGTGTCAACAAAAAATAACAACCGCATGTGAACATTTCATCGAATCGAGAAAACAAATGGGAGTTCTATTTTATGACAGCTTTTGAGGGCATTACTTGTGATTTGTTATGATTTTTTTAACATTTAATGGAGCTCCCTTAAGTAGATATGAATATTAAGCGGGGGGTGTAGTTGTCGGATTTCTGTTGGTAGAATCTTTTTATGATTCAGTTTCAATTACAATGTTAACAGGGCTAAGAATTTTATGTTTAGTTTAGGAGGCTAAGAACTTTTAGTGATGAACAGAAGTGTTTAGGACAGGTCTTAATCAAATGGTGTGTAGTCGACGGGAAGAAATCGTTCAGTTTTTGTAACAGCTTGGGAGTACTAGTTGTGCTAGACATGTTCGTCTGTCTGTCCATCTATCTGTTTGTATGAATGCAATTATATTTTGTTACGCAATATGCAATTCTTTGAGACCCAATTAGCCCATAGCACAATTTGAAAGGGAAATGCAGTCTTCCTTCAACTTTGCATTGCACAGAAATGCATAATCAAAAGCCCACATTTTGTGTTTAACGATTATGAAGGGGGATTACCCGACGCCTGAGCTCAGGTACACGTACTTGGGTGGCAGCTCGTCTCTTGCAAGTATTGAGCTCCGTGATTTATGAGTAAATGATTGGTAAAATGGATTCGTATGAGCATTCAGTTTATCGGAATATTTGCATTTAATTTTGTGAATTTCATTTTTCTCTGCTGCTGGAATGCTTGGTCATTGTGGATGCATTCTTTGCAGAAGAATCCGAAATCTACCTAATAGTGCTCGAATTTTCGACAGGACTTCACTTTGCTGGCGAATGCATATTCCCCCCAGCTATGTGTAGGACTTTGTTTTCGATTTAAAGAGACTGCTCGTTTTAAGTTGCATGCGAACTTTTTCTGTCGAGATGTGTGTATTCTGTCAAGATGTACGTCAAGATATTTAACGTCCTTAGATTATAACTTTGTTCATATATAGCGACGGACAATCGCGTTGTTCATTAACTTTACTGCGTCATTAGGGCTGTCATATTTTTTCAAAAAGTGCTGGTGTTCTTCTCGCTAAGACCATTTCATTTAAGTGACAAAGGGAAATCGAAAAGTATGGTAAATTATCATAGTTCAGCTTTACTTTATTGAATAGATTATATATTCGCTGAAAAGGGAAGGGCTCAGTAGGAGTAAAGTAAAAGACAATAGTCGCGGACCGCCGTGCGTCTGTTCGCTTTAGAGTTTTATTGGAGACTGACACTTTTGCTATACATATTCTTTATGCTTACATTCGTATGCAACAGTGACAGATAACTTGTAGATAACATAAGATTATTATCTGCTTATATTAACATGCGTGCATTGGTACTTATGTTTGTATTGATTTTCAACACCCTTCCTCAATGCAAACATGTTTTACAAAAATTTTCAAATCAAATTTAACAGCTTTGTAAAATGAACATGCTTCGCTTTAGGGAGATTTTTCGTTAAAATATCAGCTATCATTTCATTGGTTGATGTATACTGTAAAACAATTTGTTCTTCGTTTACAACCTGTCTTGCAAAATGATATCTAATATCAATATGCTTTGTTCTTTCATGGTGTACAGGATTCTTAGCTAATTGTTGAGCACTTAAATTATCGC